GGGTAGTAGATAGAATATCCCAGGTCGGGGTTCCAGGGGTGTGTCTGTGCGGATTTGATCTTGTGCTTTTTCAGGAAGTTTCTTGAGCAAATGCTGTAGTTGCTTTTGGTAACTCTCAGTGGGATAATAGGGTAATGGCTTGTAGAAAGTGGCGTTGGAGAGCTGCTGAGCAGCCTCTTGTTCATATTCCGACCTATTCATGATGACAACAGCACCTCCTTTGTCAGCCTTTTTGATTATGATGTCAGAGTTGTTTCTGAGGCTGTGGATCGCATTGTGTTCTGCACGGCTGAGGTTATGGGGCAAGTGATGCTGCTTTTCCACAATTTCAGCCCGTGCACGTATAGAGACAAAGTGAGGGAGGCAATATCTTTTATTGGACCAATTTCTATTGGTGAAAGAGAAGCTTTCGAGCTCTTCTTCAGGTCAGGGAAAAGTACGCAGTGTCACAGCTAAATATCAGGTGGAACAAACTGGTTAGCATAACTAGTTAATACATATTCTAAGAGACCATTCAAAGTTAAGTGGCCCTCTGCAGTTAACTCCTCTCCAGTCATATGACAAAAAAAAAAGGGGGTTAGTGGATTACAGATTGTTGCAATAAACTATAAATCCATTGTCTTTGTTAAGATCATGATGTTTCGTGTCTAGCAAAATTATTAATTTAAGCTCCCAGGCTTGTCTTTTGATGGTGTTGTGCAGGTTTCCTTTGAGGAAGACAACTGAGAGGCTGGATATGGAGTGATCACTTTTCTGTGTGAGTTCATTCAAGAGCATAGTGATTGTCTAGTTTCATCCACATTGTTGTTACGGGGGCATTTAATGCACTGGATGAGGTACATCACATGTTGTGACAGGCATGTGTAGGACCCTCTTCAAAAGACAAGCCTGGGAGTTTAAATTCATAACTTTGCTAGACATTAAAAATCATGGTCTTAATAAAGATACTGGATTTATGGCTTATTATAACCATCTAACTCACTAACGCTCCAGAGGTGTTAACTGCAGAGGGCCACTTCACCTTGAATGGTCTCTTAAAATATATGTTAACTACTTATACTAAACAATCTGTTCTAACTTTTACTTGGCTGTGACAGTGAGTACCCTTCTCAGACCTGAAGAAGAGCTCTTTGTAGCTCAAAAGCATGTCTCTTTCACCAACTGAAGTTGGTCCCATAAAAGATATTACCTCACCCACCCTGTGTCTCTAATATCCTGGGACCAACACAGCTACAACAAGACTGCACCTGGATATACTATGATGCATATAATTCTTAGCATAAGAAACAACTTAGATGATTCCTTAGAATTCTAGCTTTATTTAGACAACATGCTAGAATCTTTCTAGCATCTAAAGTAAAAAAGATTCTCATTTATTAGTATGCAACTTTGGGAAAAATACCAGTAAATTAATAGTCTGATATGAAACTCGCACTATTTGTGATAAAAAACCTGGGATCAGGTCTAAGAACCCCCTTGTTTGTATGGAAAGTAGTAAATGGTAAATTAACCATCAAAGAATGCAATTTGCTCACCCTTCTGGCTGATGTTATAGCAATAACAGTTTTAATAGGTAAGTTTAATAAAGAACGTTGCCTAGGGTTCAAAAAGTGGTTTCATAAGTATAGATAAAACCAAATTAAGATTCCACGTGGAACTGGATCCCTTAAAGGGGATCATGTTAGACAACCCCTTCATTAACCTTTGAACTATGTCGCATAAACAAAGATTAAAACATGAAAAACTAAAAGAGCAGCCCAATGAACTCTTAAGAAGAATTAGATCATCCTTCAGACTTTAAAAACATTAAATACTATAAAACACAGGAAGAGAAGCTGTAACTGGTTAATCAGATTTTCCTCGCATCCAAGAAACAAATTTAGTCCATTTCAAATAATACATCCTTACAGACTATTTTCTAGAACTGAGCAATAAATTTTGAACTAGCAAGGAACAGGCTTGTTCAAGATCAGGCAAAGTCTGATAGATCAAGCTGTCAGATGGAAAGACTATGGATCTGGATGAAGGATCCTGCTCACTGGTGGAATATCAGGTGTGGAGACAAAGGGAGACACTTGCAGACTCTGACATCTGAAGCAGGTCCACATACTCCTACTGTCAGACAACCCGGAGCAATCAGGATAATCCCTTCTCTGTCATGACTCATCTTCTTCACTGCTTTCTGAATTAATGGAAAAGGAGGGAAAAGATGCAGAAGGTCCCTTCCCCAATGCAGCAAGAAAGCACCTGAGATGGATTGATTGTCCCTTTCTGCTCTTGAACAGCACAGATGACACTTTGTATTGAACATGGTTGCAACTAAGTTTTCATTGGGCTGATCCCAGCTGGAAAAAACTTAATCCTTCAGGAACCACTCATGCATCTGAGAACTGTCCCTGCTGAAATGACGGCTAACACATTGTTGTCCTCTGCTAAATGCCGGGCTACCAGATAAAGACATTGTGAAGAATGCACCAGTGCCATAAATTGATTACCTCTGCACATAACAGGAAAGAATGAACTTGTTTACATAATACATAGCAGTTGTATTGTTCATTGCTATCTGAACAACCTTCCCCCTTTAAGAGAGGAAGAAAAGATCTGAGAGCCAAATAAATGGCTCCTAATTAAAAAAAATAATTATATGTAAGTACTTTCCTTGAGAAATCCAGTGGCCTCGAACTGTAAAATGATGTGGCTGAGTTCCCCCATCCCTTGCTGGATACATTGGAAGTTATTGTGACAGATGGCAAAGAGGGATTGAAAAGACACTTCTGAGAACATTTGATCTGTCTGTCCACCATATCAACAAATTTAGAACATCTGAGACATGGGCGATAAACATCCGAAGCCTGTTCATATGGGGTCTGGAAAAGTGTGACATCCAAATGCTGCATTAATCTCATTCTGAGGCATGCAAATGGAGTAATGTAAGTGGTCGCTGGCATAGGATCTATTAGATCTAAAAAGAAAATAATCTTCTGGGTGCAACACACTGAATCTTTGAAACAGGCTGTTTTATCTTCCAAAAAATCTTTGTTCCCAAAGGAAAACTCTTCCAGCTAGCGAGTCCAGCATACAGCCTTTTCACTGAATTCTCTCAGTCAAGTAGAGATTTGACTTTTGACATTCAGAAACAGTTCCAAAGCCATAAGAAGGGATGTTGTAGATTTGATGTGAAATAGGAAATCCTCCTGTGAAGATGACGTTAGCAGCCAATCATCCAAATATGGGTAAACAAAGATACTCTGTTTTCTTAAATGTGCTGCTGCTACTACAGAAAGGCACTATGTAAAGACTCAGTGCTGTAGAAAGGTAAAATAGTAGGTCTTTATACTGAAAATATCTTTGCGTCATTACAAAACACAAAGTACTTCTGACAATTTGGTTGGACAGAAATATGCATCCTTTAAATTGAGAGTTGTAAACCAATCCATAACTGGACAGCAAGGGAATTATGGAGGCTAGAGTTAGCATTCAAAACCAGAACTTCTGAACAAACCTGTTCAATTTTTTTAAATCTAAAATTGGATGGAACCCAATCCATCTTTCTTCTCTACCAGGCAGTTGACTAAAACAGTTGACTCAACAGATGTTTGAGTACCTCTCAACAGCACCTATCAGGAGCAATTTCTGAAATTCTGATAGAAGAATAACTATGAGAAGGTTCCCTGAAAAGGGAAGGATAGGGGAAATTGAAAGGGGGTAACTTTTCAAATTGTATTGCATTGCCCTTTTCTATAACTTCTAGGATCCTTGTGTCTGATGCAGTAAGCATGTATCAATAAAATGAGCTGACATGTCTCCAAATGAAGAAAGGGATGCATTCTCACCAATTGGTTAACAACTGTTGATCCTCACATCAAATTTGAGGCCTTGTATTCAGTAAAGATGAAGAGGAAGGAACAGATTGTTTTGATTTAGGTCTGGATTGGATTTATTTCTTTTTATGCTGAGACTGTGATGAAGATGTTGTGTGTAGATGTTGTCCCTCCATCAATAATGCATTTGCCAAGCTTCTCTTATCATCTGAGAGTTCCTGTGCAAATAGAGCTAGCTTCTCCCACAGATGGACTTGGTAATGGGCTATCACCCTTCTGGTAATAAGGCACACTAATTCGAGGAGATGAGGAAGAACAAAAATCTCTCTCCCTGCCCCAGGGCATCAATATTCTTTTCTTCCCTTCTGTGTCCACAGTTGAATGGGCCTCACCAGACTGAAGCCTATTATTGGCAGCAGCAACCACTAGAGAGTCCGGCACAGGGTGAGAGTGAAAATACAACAACCCTTATAAGGTGTCTGATACAACTTTTCAGCTTTCTTAGATACAGGCTGACAAGAAGCATGGGTAGCCCAAATAGTCTCAGCAGGCTGCAAGAGACCATCCAGCACAGATGGTAACACTAATCACCTGAAAATAGCACCAAAAACATTGAATACCAGATGTAATGTCTTCGCACAACAATGAAGGTAAGTTCAAAGTGGATGCCATAGAATCCACCAGGTCACAGAATTGCAAAATGTTCTCAAAAGGAGATGACACAGAAGCAATACCCATATGTTCATCAGGTGCCAAATCAGGATCAAAGTCTCTATCCATCTGATAGCTCCTCTTGTTGAACAGTATCTCCTCATCCCCCTCTTCAGGCAGAGAATCAGGCACTATTGCTGAGCTGCACGCGCACTCTAATGGGCACTGCTGGGAGAAGGTCCTACCATTTGGCTGCACCAGATAGCACAAAACCTATGTTAATATGCACAGTCACTTGAAGAATACTGTTTAAATAAAAGCACATTCTAAAAATATTTGCAGCATGCAGGACATAACACACTAAAGAAATGGTTGAGCATGGGTCATTTGATATTATGATGAGGTATTTGTGTTTCTCTCTCTTGAAATCCAAAAATAAAGAGCATGAGCTTTTAGAAGTAGAAAACCCAAGAACATAACAGAAGTCAATTGTCATTACTATACCCCAAAAACCACAGGATGCAGGAGTATGTTTAGTTTAGTTATATTACCCTTTATTATTTTACAATATATTTCAAAAACTTGTACAGATGCCTTAACTGTTTTACAAGACCTGCAATACTGTCAAAAAATAGCATACCTAAAGACTGAATGCACAAACTGTAATACCTACTTGTACTGAACCATTAATATCCAAAGGGGTATAGTAATTTAGTAAGTAGATGTGCAGTAATACAAAATGCAAACAAATGTTAACAGAGAAAAGTAAACTTTGCATTCATGGCTATAGAACAGAGGGCTTTTCAAACACATTTGGTACTGTAACATTCTAGACTGCAAAATGAGTAATATTACATATTTAAAGCAATACATGCCCTGGAAAGCTTGTATTTTCAATCTGTGCGTATAAACCTGAATCAAAATGAGCTAGCTACATTAAAAAACAGAGACATCTAGTCTGAAAGTAACCTTTTTCGTCCCCGAATGACACTGAATTTGAGTGGGTCAACTCTGACTTTTGTTACTGTTATTTTACACTATTCTTTCCTGTACACTGTTGCATTAATATGACAGCCTGTGAATGATTTTACTCCCCGCCCATAACACTGGGGAGTAACTTTTATGGAGCAAACATTTGTCTCAGTCTCCAAATTGAAAATGTAGCCAATGTTATAGCATGGATGTCATCACAAAACACACTTTTTTTTTTTTGGTCAGTTTTATAATAGCATTACAGTTTTTTAGCTGTATTCCTGTGAAGCAACAAAGCAGTACTGTAGTTTTCAGAACACTGAAAATGCTTACTAATATTTCAATATCCACTTTCATAGATTCTACCTACTTTTGTTATCTTTTCTGGTCACAAAACAGAGAGAAGATGTTAATGACCAAGACATCTTTAAACTTACACTGTCTGCAAACAACAAGACAAAACCAATTGTTCAGGTATGTTTTTTGTCTTATCCACGTTGATGTGCTTTCATGGGAAAATAATGAAGGCAATAAGAGGAAACAACTACAGTACTACCGATCAGATTTCTGCCAAGCAATAAAAGTTTAAAGTCAAAATTTATGAGAGTGGCACTGTGGCGGAACAGGCATTCAATTTGTTTTATTTTTCAAGTTTATGAAGTTTCAGTTACCATTATAGTCACTTATAGTGGACACTATCTGATAACTGAGTAAGGCCAACAACCCACCTTCTATCTCAGAAGAAACTGCAATAAGCAGTTGAGCAGATCACAGCTGTTGGGAGTATGATCTTCTTAACCAGCCTACATGGCAGTCAGTAGTATCTGGTACTATATACACAAAGTCACTCACACCCATCATTGAAATGATTTTCCTACAGCAGTTTATTTACTGTATAACATATACATACATACATACATACATACTTCTTTCTGCTCATTTAATCCCTTATATGTTAATCTCATAGCTCACCAGTGGTTTAAGGGCTGAAAAATATTTCAACAAACATAAGGGGTTATAAAGTTCAAGTGTGTAGCAATTTTATTTTCATACAGAAAATTAATATGAAATGCTGGTTCTGAACATGGTTGGCAAAAATAAAAGGCAAAACAAAGGCAGGGTATATTTTCATCTGGAGTCAATGTCTAGAAAACCAAAAGAAATAAATCTGAAATAAGGCAAAACAAAAAAGGCATTTTGATTCATGCACAACTAGAACTAATAAGAATTTCCTTTCACAGAGGTCCTGAGACTTGAGTTGAATGGGTTCTCCCTATCGCTTGCTTCGTGTGAAGTCAAACTTAAAGCTCCATAAGCATAAATGTTTGGTTTTTAATAATGGACCCATTTAAAAAAGGAGACAATAAAATGTACATGAAAACAAACAAAAGCGACTTGATCTGAGGCCTCTGTCCTTTGACCTGCCTAACAGGCTAAATGGCCAATAAAATGTAAAATGCAGCATACATTTGTGTAATCTAAAATCTTTTCGTGATAATTTATTGCAAATTGCACTTGGCAGTTCACCACACCAATGGAAAACTGGCCACCCTGTTGGTTGTTCATGCAGTCCTTTAACCACAACGCAAGTCACCAGTAGAAAGACCTGGACAGAAAGTTTGCCGCTGTGCTGAGCCAGCTGGCTGCACCTTCTGGGTGTGACCCAACCCGGGATACTGCTTTGTCTTGTTCCTTTGTAGGGCTTTCATCCTCTGGCAAATAGTCAGGTAGATCTGTATTTTGCTCTACTTCTACAGGAGTATCTTGGAATGGAACCAGCACCTGATGAATAGAAGAGTTCAAGAAATTGTCAAATGCTGTGAATCAAAATGAATACAAAAAAAGACAAGGGCCTCATCCTGAGAGGCAATGAACACCTCCCTAAATAACTGCCATGGTAGATATTAGGCACTGTCAATCCATTTTATTTAGACCATATGCAAGAAAAGTACAGGTTTAAGGTAAAAACATACCACCAAAAAGTCAGACTATCTTTCTCTACAGCTGTGAAATAAAACCACATCATTGAGATTTGCCTTCTTGACAGAAACCAAATCTCAGTTTCCAGACTCATCTCTCCAGGTCACCTCTTGCTAACAGTTCAACAGTAATTTCTAGGAATACTATTATATGGATTCACATCTTTGAGCAGTATACACTTTATCCTCTTTATGTTGTGTATGAATCTCTGACAAGTACAACAATGTACAGTTCCTTAAGAATAGAAGTGATGGGCATTGTAGTACAGGTACCAAAGATCCAAGCCAGATCCACCTCTAGTTAGAATGAACTGTATCTCACCTCCTCTCCACTTTCACTTTTCACAACTTGCTGTGCTTTCATAACTTTGGTTGATGCTATTGCTGTTGCCAAAGCCTACAAGAGGGAGAAAATACAAGGAAAATAAAGGAAAATAGTGTTATAGAACTGCAACAGATGCACAGGCCTTAAAGCAAGCACAGTTGTAAGTACTTACTTCTGCTTTTAAGTCTGAGCGAATTCGGACCACACATCTTTGAACCGCCATTTGAAATGTAAAGCTAATAACTCCTTTAATTTTCAACAAGGCTTCTTCACAAAGATTCCTTCGAGACTAAAAAAAAATAAAGTATTAACATGCAAAGGCCATACAAAAGTATTAACCATGGATGTTATGACAAACTCCTGCATCTTTTAAGACAGTTGGTAAATAAGGTAATTTTGTAGAAGAAAATAAATAGTGCCGGTTACAATTATTTTTAATACACATATACTGACATTTCATATTGCTACAAACCTTGTCATAACAAAATTTACAACATTTTTGCTTATATTTTAAAAGTCAGACAAGGATGGAATCAACTGTAAATAATCAGGAAAAAGTGCTGAAAAGCAAAGAATGTTTTTCTCCGTATGATCAGCTAAACAGTCCCCTGAGGTTAAGTCCGGATTGAGTGGAGCGCTCATTGATGTGTAGTTAGTGTTTAAGTTGCTATTTATCAGACACCTTGTATCCATACTGACTGAATGCATCAAAGCAGCTGTTGTATCCTTCAGCTACCTCATCTGTGGCAGCTCATGGACATCAAAGCACAGCATAATCTTAACTCTGATTTCAAGGGAAAAAATGTTTGGTTAAAAAACCAACTGCATGTTACGTGTAAAGCAAGTGACAATGCCTACTGTGCAATAACATTACATTGACCTATACTGGTTGCATCTAGTCTACATTACCTTAAAATGTTTTCTTACTTTTTCAGTATTTAGAAAACAAGATGGTTACTACAAAGAGAGTAAAATATCTATTTGGGAGACTGTTACCACAAACAAAAAAGCTACATTGTAGTGGGTTACCAGAGATAGATACATATATACACACCTTGACAGTCTTATAGACTCAAGTGTTAGTCAAGTTTCATCAATCTGCTAACTAACTGGTTCAGCTAAACTATACAGAGGCAAAACTCAGCTTACTTCCATGCACATATGAATGTCATTTTGGACTGTATTAAAGAACATTAATAATTAGAATTGTGGCAATATAGTAGGCCTGGGCTACTATATATCTTTACACAAAAGTGTGGGGGGGAGGGGGCAAACTGCATTGTACAAGTGAAAGACAAATAAAACCACCTCTGGCCACGAGGAGGGAAGGCACAAAAGGGTGTGAGGCAACATGGTTTAGTAGACTAAACAAGGGGTGATTGCATGGATACATACATCAACTGACAGAGTCTCTCCTTCTGAGAGCTTGGTCAAATCATATAATCTGTGTCTCTGTTTCCCTAAATGGAGTAATACCTATTCCACAGATAGTTTACTACTTTAAGTTGTAAAACACTACATGAATGCTAAGCCTCACCAGAGTGTGTACAAATCCCTTCACTAGCTGGAGACTTGGCAACCTCCAGCTATTTGGACAACTGTCCTTTCCATTGATAACTATGAACAAATCCCAGCTGGGCAATCCTTCTACCACAGCATGGAATTTAGGGTTGGGGAAAACAAAACCTAAAGGTAACTCAGGTATCCATGTTTTATATAATGAGTCAGTTAAGTCTGAGATGCATATCAAAGACTCATCTTGCCAACTGTTCCCAAAACCATCAGGCCAACTCTGTGTACTGTGAAGTATCATAGAATATCAGGGTTGGAAGGGACCTCAGGAAGTCATCTAGTCCAACCCCCTGCTCAAAGCCGGACCAATCCCCAATTTTTGCCACATATCCCTAAAGGCCCCCTCAAGGATTCAACTCACAACTCTGGGTTTAGCAGGCCAAAGCTCAAACCACTGAGCTATCCCTCCCCCCCTACCAGTAATTATGGTAGACAAGTCATTCACAGTTCGTGGGGGAGTGGGAGGGATAACAAAAAGTGGGCCCAAAAGTGCTAAGGCTGCCTCTCGTGTAGTGTTCTTAAAAATTAATAAAAGATTCTGATTATTTGGGGCTGACAAAAAATCCTGCCAACTCCGGCTAAAATTATACAGACTACCCATTTGTTACCACTATGAAGTCTTATTGGGAAGATTAGACGGCAGTAGATCAATCAACAGACTTCTGTTGTACTACATTTTTTGTTTTTTGACTGAGATCATTATCAAACTCTACAGAATGTAGCTTTATTTTGAATAAACTGATCAAGAACTATTTGAGGTCTCCAACAAGTCAAGAAAGATTTACAGGATTTCCAATCACTCTTACAAAACATGAACTGGTAAAAAGCCTTAAGTAGGTCAACTCTGACATATGAATTTGCAGGCCCAAAAAATCAGACAAGTCTATTCAAAACTTTGAATTCCTGCAGATGTGTTTGATACATTGAAACAGTTCTTAAGTTTAAAAAGAAAAATAATTTAATAAAAACAGACTGCTCTTTATTCACATGAATACACAGAGGAAGGTAATGGGTCATCGCTGGAGACAAGAGTCAATTATGGGGGCAGGGAAGCAGCATTGCAGACAGAAGCTGGTTTTTTTGTTTTAATTTTGGCAGGGATGAAGTTAGTTATTTGACAGTAAGAATGTTTCACAGACCTGGCAAAAAATGCTAAGGCCAGCCATGCATACACATAGATGAAGTTACACACATACCTCAGACCGAATCTTCTTTGTCAAGTGCTATATAAAGCTAAATTATTGTTATTGTTCACATCCTCTACCATTGTATAGTTCCCAACTTATTCTAACACTTAAAACTGCTTTGTAGGGATGTTTTACTGCTGCTGTGTTATTCCAGGCACCTCGAATATCAGTAGGGTTTCTTTGATAGTCTCATGAAACTCAGAACTATGTACATTAGCTAATCCAGCCAGCACACAGCCAGATTCTTCTTTTCCTTTAATAATGAGCTGAGAAAACATGCTGGTGTATTCCAGGCAACCGGAGAAGCCTGAAGTTCTGCTCTCTGGATCCAAACATCTAAATACCTTGTTATACACTTTTTACTAGGATAGCAATGAATATCTTTGCCACAATGCTTAAAAAGTGAAATTGCAAAGAGCTGCATTAGCTCCATTTGTCAGGGAACACAAATAAGAGGTCTTCAGACCTGCTGGCCTCAGTCCATTTACGGGATTATATGTACTTGAATTGGCAGACAAAGGAGAAGTGGATAGAGTTTATCTGTGTTTTAGAGAAGCTTTAGAGACTCTGATGCACAAATGATCTACAATGTTAGTAAACATAATAGGAGCATACTATTGGAATGTATTAAAAACTGGTTTGAAGATACAAAAGCAAGTGATGCTGATAAACGAACAAGTGAAGGGTTCCAAGGTAAGTACTTATTTCTTTACTACGCATACAAATGACTTGGAGTACAATCTAATTTCAAAAGGAGCTAAATGTACTCACAAGAAAATATGAGGAAGGAAATGCTATTGATAAACTGGGTTCCCAGACATGCTTACTTGGAAAAACGTAAAGTAACAAAACAAAGGATCAGGTCTGATCATTTAAAATGGGTACAAAGCTGAAGATACAGAGACCTGAGGGTATTTGTGAAGAACATGCTTAAAAAAATCTACATGCTATTTGGCAGCCGTAAAAAAGCAAACATAGCCCTGGGGTGTTGTACACAGGGTATGGTGGATAAATCTGTAGAAGTTATTTTGACATTACATAAAGACTCAGTGAGATCTCACTATCTCAAGTGCCAGTCTGGACACTATAGTAGAAAACATCTCACAGACTACAAGATGATGTAGCAAAAGGACGCTAACAAAATTCAACGTTCCTTAGAGTTATAATAGAAGATTAGTCAGTGGCTAGAATCTCTCATGCTGTACAGGCAATTGTGAAAAATAAGGAATGGTTTTGATTCCAGTGCTCTGACCACAGAGAAATATCATGAATCGAGATTGATAAAAGGCAGTATCTCAATTATTCTAAAGGTGACTGAAACAGGAAACAAAATTGGCAAAGATGGAAATGGAATTATTTAAAAATACAAAGTTACAAAGCAACTAGCCATAAATATTTCTTGCATTAAATGTCTTTAAATTATACATCAGTATTTCAAAATATGACTCACAGGAGTTGCTGGCATACATGAAAATAATAAAAGCATTCTTTGAATGCCCTTCTTTTTTGGTGCAAAGTATGTTTGAATATAACATGCATGTACATTATCACAGTATTTCCCTATCATTTCCAGTCTGATTCCTAATGATAAGTACTTAGGATTTACTTACTGAATCATCAAGGCCATCTATATGTAAAACCACTGTTTTAGCACGTTTATTTGTACTGCCCAGGAAAAACTGAGCTTTCCGCCGGCAAGAATTCATTTCATTCACACCATCCATGTCTGACATGTTGGAAGCTTGAAGGATGTCATAGACTTCAGAGGCTAAAAGTTTAGTCTCTCCTGGTGTAGTAGTCCTTAAAGAAAAAATAATACATTGAGATTTATAAGGATCTATTTTCACAGTTTTATTTCAATTAGCTGCCCCATTTATGACTCAGTATCTTGAATGATCAGCACACTACGGAAGCATTTTATATAGCTAATATGCAGTTAGAAGAAAAGATTCCTTAATTTAAAAAAAATAAAATAAAAGAGAGGGTCTACCCAACCCACTTCCATCATCCATATGCCAGTGCTATTACCAGCCTGAAACTGAAGCCAGAATGTTTATGTTAATTTTATACCTGTGAGCTTCTTTTGCACCATTATTTTTTAATGATATATCAAGAACACTTTTAGCTTTTATTTCTCTCTCTGCTATGTGTCATATCTATTTAGAAACTTGCAAACACAATAATTAAACTGATTGACAAACTTTGATAACCCCCCCCCCCACAACATGTTGATTAGGATACAATGCAACCATGTTGTGTTCTATTTGCTTAATAGCATCTTTGATTAATCTCAGTTCCCAGAACTATGTTGACATAGCTGGTGCTACAAAAAGAAAGCAAATGCAGCTGTAGATATAACATAAATAGTTGCCCCTGTACGAGAGGATATCAAACTGCCTTAGAGATAAGTATTCCATCTCTTACCTACCTTGTGGGGTACCATTCCCATTTTACCTGGAATTTTACATTTTAAATAGAGTCACAGAGATTAAGTAACAAGTCAAAAGTTCTGCAGAAAGTCAACAGCAGAGCAGGGACTAAAACCCACAAGTTCAGACTCCCAGGTCCCTGCTCTAACCACCATTCCACACCCTTCTCGACTGTGGATCTTTAAAAATAGCATTGTGGAGATATTCCGTATTAAATAAGTTAAAAGTAGGTTAAAATTGGTGGCATAAGCTATATGGGAAGCTTTAAAGGAAATGAATTTAGATATTAGACTGGACATCTTTCATTATTTTCTTATGCTTAATCACAACTGAATTTAATGGGCCAAATTCATCACTGAATTAATTTCACTGACTTCAATGGAGGGCAGGATTTGACCCATCATTAATAAACTATAATATTTTGAATGAATAAAAACAACACTACAGCAACATCGTACAATGCATCTTACTGTGGCCAATCATAGGCATAAATATATTGTAGTAAATAGCTAAGTTTTTCCTTTGAAGCTTTCTTCCTTACTATTTCATCCCAATAACTAGCCCGGGTCAAACATTACCTCCATCCCAATTTCATATCACAGAAGAATAATGTTGGAGCAAAATCTTAGTCAATTCCCTCCCTCTAGGTCTCCTACTGAGTCTTGTCTTCTCTTCCCTGTGACTGTCTTTTAGACTGTAAACTCTTTAGGGAAGAACTATCTTATTTGAGTATCAGTACAATGTTCACCATGCCTGCACTTAAATTAAAGTGATACTGTGAGGTTTGTCCTAAAGATGATAAAAAACAAGACACTGGGGCCTGAACCAGTACAGCATTTAAACAGTCACTTAAAATTAGGCACATGCTTAAGTTCATCCCTCTACAAGGAAAAACATACTTAAGTAAATCGAGGTCAGATAAAAAATGCATGCTTTTTTTTCATGATACTCAGATTCACTGGACAAAATGCGTACATGTCGTCCACGGCTTGAAGTTGAAGGATGGCGTCTATATTTAGGTGCTAAAATTTGACAGCAGTGCCATGTGAGCTGATGCCTCAAGGAACGATAAGTTAACTTTCAAGAAAATGACAGCTTAACAGGGCACCATAACACTAAACAGCCGTTCGTTATGTTAAATTGTGTCCAACAAAATTAAAAGACACAGAAGCAAAGTCTTCTGTAATACCTATTCCCTTTCAAATATAATTTGTTTTTCCATTAAACTTAACTGGCCAGTTCACAATCAGTATAACTTTTTCCCAAAAGCTTTTTTCTAAATACAGTAACTCCTCACTTAACGTCATCCTAGTTAATGTTGTTTTGTTGTTATGTCATTGATCTATTAGAGAACATACTCATTTAATGTAGCGCAATGTTTGCTTATAACATTGTTTGGCTGTGGGGGCTTGGACCCAGGATGGGCTGACAGCTCCCCTCCACCCTCCCAGTGCCTCCTGCCTGCTGGTGGCCCCGTAGATCAGTAACTCCCCCCTCTCTTCCTGCACCTCCCACCTGCAGCAATCAGATGTTTCGCAGCATTTAGGAGGCTCTGGGGGGGACGCGGTGCGCAGCCTTCCTCCTCCCCCCTAGAGCCTCCTGAACACCCCGAAACACCTGATAGCTGCAGGCGGGAGGCACAGGGAGGAGCGAGGACATGGGGCACTCGGGAGGAGGAGGTGGAGCAGGGGTAGGAAAAGGCAGGGTGGGAGGGCAGCGAGGGCTGGAAGAGCCAGGGGTTGAGCATCCCCCAGCACTTTGGAAAGAACAGCAAGAGGAGCAGCTGGATGATCCACGCTCTTTCAACCTCTGACTCCACCACCTCAACCAAGCTTCACTATCATCGTTGCTGAGTACAGTATTAAATTGTTGGTTTAAAATTTATACCTATATTACACTGTTTGTTTAAAACTGTTTAAAATGTATCCTGTATATCTATATAATGTCTTTTGTCTGGCTGAAAAAATTTCCCTGGAATCTTACCCCCACAATTTACATTAATTCTTATGGGGAAATTGGATTAGCTTAACATCATTTCGCTTAAAATTGCATTTTTCAAGAACATAACTACAATGTTAAGCGAGGAGTTACTGAACAAGTTTCTTATCTTAGCCTTAGAGTACATCATGGAACACAAAATAATCAGTTCAGAAAAGACAGAGACTACGATAATAAAAGTTCCTTAAAAAAAAATCCCACTAAAAACATTAGCCATAAAAAGGCACAGAAACTTAAAATTCGAAGTTGAATGGTATGCTATCTAATAATGAAATGGGACTTAATGTATAATGTAACAGTAAGCTGCATATATTTAGTGCTCCAATATCACAGTTGGCAGGAATTCTTATATAATTCCAGCTATCTTCATATAACTTAATTATTAAAATAACCTGCTAATTTGACAGCACAAAAAGCAAAATCTGCTATTTTTTACAGACACATTAAAAAAGTATTCTCTAGGTTGTCCCCAAAACAATCCTTTTTTTTTTAAAGTAAGGAAACTGCTAAGGAAAATCATTGAACAAATGTATTATCATTAACAACTTCTACTCATCAGTCTGCAGGGGAACACAAACTATCTTCCCATTCAAGTTAATGAGAGTTGGGATTGGGTACCAGAATCTCTGTTCACACAAAGATGATAAAACGTAAGAGTTACTATTTTTCAGAAAAGGTTTAGACACTATTTGAATACTGAACTGTAAATCAATGCATTAAGAAAGCTTAACAGTATAAATTGCAGATAACTAATTTTCTAAAAATGTAAAGGGTTTGTAGCAGGTTGCCCACAAACATAAGTATTACTTGACGGAGCGAGTTACTCAACAAGATTCAGCTCACATCGCATACGTACTATAACAATAGCAGTAAAATGAAACTAAATAAATGAACAGTCAAAGAGAGGCAAGCTGAAGTGATACCACCACAGTATAAAATCAGAGATACAAACCAGAAATAGGAATATCAGTCAAAGTAAAGTTATATGAAGTATCCATCTACATAATGCAATACTGCCAATAATTCCAATAACTAAGTTACAAACAAAAAACAGCATTATGCCAAATACATTACAGTTTCTAATGTGCTGGTAAAATAGAGTAAAATCTAAGTCTTGCACCAACCTGTTCCTGTTTCAGTTAAAGGGACTAACAATATAACATCACCACATGATTAATTAAGGATGAAAGTATGAAAAACTAATACAATTATTACAAAATTAAACACTTTTTGGCAGAAAAATAAGTTGATCATGACCAGGGAAATATATAGTAAAACCAATACCATATTTAAAACTTCTATGTTCTTTTGTGTTTGTATGGCACCTGGAACACTATGGGTGCTACTGGAAAAATAAAAATAAAAAACATAAAAATGTAAACCACTAATGCACAGTATAAATACAGTAAAATGTGAACAGGCAAGACAGTCTAGCAAAGACTAAAATACAATGAAGTTAAATCAAAGCTCTAGCAGTACTGTCAACACTGGATCAAAGTAGTATGTGATATGTCAGGAGAGGATGTGTGAGATAGATCCTGTTTAAAAAAATAAAATAACTTAATTGCAAACACAGTAAACTCTGAAGCAATGGTGTGTGCGCTCAACTAAATGTGTACAGTTCATCACAGGGTTCTTATCTTTCACATTGTGATGGGGTATATCTATTTCACCCAGATTTTTCGAAGCCATTCATCCTACAGACGGATGCCTCAGAAGTGGGGTTTGGGGCCGTACTGTCACGGGAGCTGGATGGGGAGGAACGCCCCATGCTCTACCTGAGCCGGAAGCTACACCCCAGGGAGACTAAATATTCCACCATCAAGGAGGGCTCAGCAGTGAAGTGGGCGATTGAGGCCCGAAGGTATTACCTATGAGGGGGCCCCTTCCGCCTCATCACGGACCATGCACCTTTCCGTTGGATCAACACCATGAAGGACTCGAATGCCCAGATTATGTGGTGGTACCTCTCCCTCCAAGACTACAAGTTCAGTGTGCTACACCATATAGGTAGGGATCATGCTAATGCGGACTTCTTTTCCTGAATGGGAGGGGAGGATGAAGGAGAAGGACCCTCGCTGGGTCCTTGCTTGAGGGATAGAGTGTGTGGCAGGGTGTAACTACCCTGCATTGACCCCGCTCAGGTTAACCGCACACTGTGGGCCAAAGAGGCCACCCCCCTTGCCTCTGCCGGGCATGCTCAACCAGGAGACAGGATATAAAAGGGAGTGGTCTAGCTCAGTCTGGGCTGGCTGAGGAGGAGAGCGGATGCATACTGGAGGCTCCTGCCAGGGAGCTGCAGGGGCTACAGACCATGGAGGTCAACCCACTGGGATCAACGGCAGAACCACCAGACCTTGGAGGAAGAGTGAA